TACCCAGTGAAAATCAATTCCAGCTAAAATAAAGAATTCTACAGTATCTCATGCTCCTAAAACTTCTCAGCATAGAGTTCTTGAAAAGCCAATAATTGATGATGGTTATAATCATTAATAATGTAATTATGTTTGCTTTTTATTGGAGTTAAACTAAAATACAGCAAATACCATACCACAGTATTCTTGCATGTAACTAACACGCTGACTATGATTCACAGATGTTGGACACATTGCTGACTACTCTTATTCATGAGATTCAAAACACCACTGTAGTTGGTAGGAAGGCAGAAGCTATTATTGTTAGTAGGAGATTTATACGTTCTGTTGCCAGAGTATTTGTGGTGCTTAGTATTGAAATGACACCAGGCAAGAAAAAAATGTAAGTACTGAATGAAGTCTGCTAGTATTATTCACAAACCAAATTAGCATTTGATTCGTAAGCGCAGTTCCATTAAATTAAGATTTGTCTGTCTTTTCAACACTTTGAGTCAGATGTGATAAAACAGTTATCCCCTGATATCACTTGTTGGTGGAACTGCTTGGTACTCATGTCGACATGGGCTGTATTATCCACTCACCATTGGTTCAGGGATAATGTACTAACCCATGACGTCACTTAAATCAATTAGCTCTTCAAACAAGTGATATGAGGTGATAAACTCATATTCAATGAATTTGAGTTGCTGCCTACACACCCCCACAATAAACAACATATATTTTCAAAAACAAAGTGGCAGATATTTATTTGCTTCACACAGTGTTATAAACACTTTTATTTTGGGCAGTTTTGTAATACATTTGTATTAATGAGCTCGGTCACGATGCAAATATTTTTTTTATTGGAGTCAAAATATTATGTTTCACAATTTAGAAGAGTTTGAATTTAAAAATGAAACATTCTCGAAATGCAAATGCTGCAGACTAAAAAAAAATTGAAAAGGTTAAATGAAACTCTCTGAAACATTTCAGCCAGGACTATGTTCATAACTTTCATGATCTTATTTACTACAAAATTCTCCTTCAAAAAATCGTCCACGTAATTATTTTGCGGATTGCTGGTTATTATTCCGACCATCAGCTTCTACACCGTTTACATTTACAGTAATGAACGAACAAATAACACTTCCAAGCGATCATCAAAGTTACGACGTGACATAACTTACTTCGCGATGTTATACACCGGTAATACCAATAATTCCTCTTAATCAGTCATGATGCCATGCAAAAAATTTGACTTTTTTTTTTTTATGAAAAAAAACGTAAAATTTGAATTAGTTTTATCGGGAGCAATTATTTTTGATCACTGCGGTGAAAACACAGACCCGCCATGATAGTTGTGACTATCAAAAACGCCATTAACCAATAAGAATGCTCCATGGTAATGCCGGTAGAACCCGAAGTTTTCCAAATGGTAGTGATCATAAAAATTGCATTGCGGAAGTAAAGCGATGTTGTTGCACGATGTGTTGGTATGGATTTCAGATTAAAACTGCATGAAGGTTTTCGAAAGAGGTGATTAGCAATTTTTAACAGGTAAAAGAAGTCTTGAAAGCAGAGTTTTTACATGATTCACGATGATAACAGTTCAAATGTATTTTGCCCAATCACGCAATAAACACATTTTTACTTGAGTAGCGTAAACTGATCGTGAACTCTGTTTTGCCCATGTTACATCGGAGTGGAATTAATTTTGAAAGAATTTTAGCTTTCAATCTAAATACTGCGTCGATCTTGAAAGTGTTTACTTACTAACAAAGCGGTACTAATTTTACAAAATTGACTTGTATTGTTTATAAGGCGCTACCACATCGTGCGACTATGTCTATTGTTTACAAATTATTATCTACGACACGCAGCGTTTCCGTGGTGGTTGCTAATTTTGAGTGCTGGTCGAGCCGACCAGCGTGATGAGATACCCAATGAAAAAAGCACTTTGGCGGTCTTGCTAATCACCGCAGCGGTGTGAGACCGGTGTGGTGGCAAATCGAAGCACTGTGGCGGGACCGCCACGCTGTTTACATCCTGGGGAGAACACTGTTACTTTGTATTATATGTAGAACGCCTCCCACTTTTGACTATCAACGTAACATTTACGCAATACTAACAATTAAATGCTCATTTGTTAAAATCTGTAAATCATGTATTATCAAATATACTAGAAACAGTGAATTGAAATGATAATTATTTGTTTTACAGTACTAGTATTTCTCAACCATTGGTCAGATGTAAGAGAGTTTTCCAAGCACTTATCAACTTAGCTGTGGAAGAATTGTGTGAAATAGCCGACTCAATGATATTGCCAGTTAGAATGGGTGTGGCTAGACCCACAGCACCTTTCTCACTAGTCAATTCTCATGTAGATGCTGTTCATGTAAGTATTAACCAGTAATCTCTGTACATGTCGCAACCCACAACAAATTTCAATTGCTCTGACACTTCATGTCTTGAGAATTTTGACTGAAAATGTATAATATTTCTACGAGAAAACTGCTAAGTATGCTATCAGATAATAATGCCATGGTCACCTCAGCATGCTAGGAGGTTATTATGAATATACCTCAAACTGTGCCATGGGAGCATTGATTGGTGCATAACAGAGGTCAGTGTTACTGAAAAATTTAGTGTGAACATGCATGGTACATCCTTGTAACATTCTTACGATACATCTTCCCAATCTAACCATTTAGTGTGTGAAGCCCAGGTCTAGACATTGTGATGAAAATCATTGTGCTGTACTTCGCCTGCAGGGCATCAACCAATTAAAATCAGTTGTGTTGGTGCACATGTTGGCTGACAGTTTGCAGTAGGAAGTTTCATTTTTGCGATCAGTCAGCTTATTTTCTCACTACTAATTTAAATTAAATTTAAATTTACCGCCATCTTGAAAATATTGTTAATCATTCCTTATTTGGTATTTGCCAATCCTAATAAGGGAGGATGGGTTTATTTAATTACCAACAAATTTTAATGCATTATATGCTAATTCTTGCAATAATCTCATCATATTGTTATGTACTGTAGAATACTTTATTTTCACTTGGAATTAATTTTCGTTATGTTCGCTGAAAGAATTATTCAGTGAAAATAAAATTTAGCGAATATACCTTTTTTCCTATATTTTACATTGAACTTGTCAAAAATCAGTGAAAATAAATTCCATACAAA